AAACAAAAAAATATAATTAAAAAAAACATTTAAAAGATATAAATAAAGGAATGCTTTTATGTTTTTGGTCAATTTAAACCTTTAGTGCACATAATTTATTAAAAATACCGTAAAATATTACAATCCGTATATTCCTCCCATAAATCCAATTAGAACCTTAATTTCATCATGATTAATATGTAAATTAAAGGAAAACACAGTGAAGGACTTTAATGGATTTGTATTTCAAACAATATTCAGACATTTATGCCTCTGATTGCAATAGATTAAGTGTTTTTAAATGGACTAAATGCAGTTAGAGAGGTTTTTAAAGGGCTCAAAAAAAGGGCTAATGGATTTAAATTTATTAAGGTATTTCAAGTAGACTATAAACACATCATTTTAAGTTTAAATCATTCAAAATTGACCAAAAACCACAAAAATGTATCTCCTAAAATGATATAAAAAATACCAAAATTTCATCATGATCAATGATCGTTTGAGATGTTGGGTATTTATTGTGTATTAACTAACGATCCTGTATCTTATGACATTTTTGTGTCTCATTATACCATCACTGTCTGTTCTTTGATGGATATTAAAGCGAACAAAGACGATAATTTAAAGACAAAGAAAAAAGACCACGTCCTAAATAATTTGAGAAAGTCAAACGTCTGCTAAGCATCATTAAAAAAAAAAAAGACGATTTTACTGATCTTTTCTTTGTGTTGTGCTTGATAAAATCTGAACAAAAGGCAAAGAATGTGAGCAAATGAAGAAATATAATGTGAATGGTTCAAGGTTGTTATCAGGCTTAAAGAGAATAGAAGGAGCTCGCTCCGTATGAGTCGACTCACTGTGACTTGTCAGTCAAACCATCCCAATAACACATTCACAGCATGTCAAGGTATCAACTCAAAGGTCTACTTTTGATGTCGGCAACATCAAACCATGACCTGAAAACACACGAGCGTCTCCGCCTCGTTGCTATTCCCCTGGAGTTCGTCTCTCCTGGGCCAAAAGATTTGACTCAGGCGTCTCAGAATCCGCCCATGACAACATAATGAGCAAACAAGGAGATAATAGACGATGGATTTGGGGAGGATTCGGTGCTGCACACAGTCCCACCACGCACTTCAAAGTAAAAGCACCCTATCCCTGGAGGAGTGTCTCGCTCCTTAAACACTACCTCCCCCCTCCTGCCCTCTTCTTCCTCTCTGTTTCTGCCCCTCCAATTAAAGGTCTCCGGCCTAGTTCTTCACAATCACTATAATGCTCTGCAGCTTGCCAGCTTATTGGTAGCCTGAATACAGATCTCCTATATTAATTCTAAATGATCTAATTTCACATTCGATTGACCTACGCAGTTACACAAGGACATTGTTTAGCTTAGCGCGATAGCCCAGATATTTTATGCATAAAAGAATAGTGCGTGAGGTTAACGACAAGCATAACTTTTCTTTCTTTTTTTTTCATTAAATGACCTCAAGAGGAGAGAAACGATAACTCTAACTGCCAATGAAACCCTGGGGGGATGTTGCAGCTCCACTGAACAGGACTAAGGGCCCCATCGTTGCCAGAAACCATTACCCAGTGAGGACGCTCCACCGCCGCGGCCTCCGCCATGGAAATGAAATCAGTAAAATGGACGGTAACTCGATTGCCCCCTTTGTCCTCACAGAGCACCGCTCAGACCTTTCAGGATCTTCAGATTTGACAGTGATTATTAATTAGCAGCCATTACGGTGCACAACGCAACGGAGGACATGTGTTACGGAGTCATTTTGGAGTCAACAATGCTGACACAGCAGACGTCTCGCATACAGTCAGCAGTGGAGGAAGTATTCAGATCCTTTACTTGATGCCACACTGTGAGAAAATAATAAATAATAATAATAATAAAGGATGAAAAGTTAAGGTATTGATTGTGCAGTAAATTGTTCCCAGTCAGTGTTTTATTATTTTATCTGATGTTTCTTGATTCATATTCCTGCTGCTTTATATTTACCTCTGAGATGTAGTACAATAAAAAGTACAATATGTACCTCTGAG